AAAAAACCAAAACAATAAAGCATTTATGGTGCCTTTCTCTTTAGAAAAGAGTATAGAGACTCACTGTAGTGGATTATGCCTATAATCCTAGCACTTGGGAGGCTAAGACAGGAGGGATGCATTGCCAAGTTCAAGGCAGTCTAGGCTATAGAGTGAAGCTTGGTAACCATCCTATGCCTGCACCAAGCATTAACATTTAAGCAAACCTCTGCAAACTCACCGTCTTCTAGATTCACGTGGAATACATCTGGGAGCCTGTTTAGGTCAGTGCCATCCTGAGTGCTATGTGAACCCCACCAATGAGCATGGCCAGGTTGCCCTAGTAGAGAAGTCCTCCATTGTCCCTAGGAGCTGGATCTGCAAGACCCCAACGATTTCATAGTAAGTCCTTTGAGTGGCTTGCAGGAGTCTCTCCAAGGGCTGGGCAGTGCCAGCTGCAGCCCTACTGGTCACAACCTCTAAGCTAAACAGCTAGTTGAAGAGTAACCATAACCATGACGAGCTCTACCTGCCCATCCACAGAGGGTGCCACTCAGTGTCACCCAGGAATGCTAGGCAGAAAATTCCAGAGCTCACCTTCCATCCAGCCACAGCCCCATCCTCAGTGTCCCCTTCCTTCACACTGGCTGCCCAGCCTTTTCTAGGTATGGTCTTCCCCGGCTTGGCAGCTTGTTGGCTGTTGATCTCAGGCAAACTTTTACCTCTCTGAGCTGTTCCTCCTTACCTAACTGGCAGGAGTGAGGCATAATGAGAGTATTAGCTCTGGGTCTGCACAAAGCCCATGGCACAGGCAGCTATGTAAATGTGCTTGGTGAATGGGTAGCTGAACCATGCTGCAGTTCTCATGGTTCCCATCTCCCCAGCTCAGCCTGCATATCTGGAAGTCTGGGTCAAGAAGAGCTCTTTCAAACAGGCAGCCAAGCTACCTACCTCATGAGGCCAGGCACCATGCTGGTGGGGATCTGGGACCTGAGGGGTAGTACCCAATGGGACAGGTGGCAAGTTCTTTTGCTCTAAAGCGAGGGTCTACGTAGAAATGGAGGGACAGCGGGGAGACATTGCCACCCTTGCTAAAGAGAGGAAGTCACCTTCTACGTTGCTTTCCACACCTTTTGACAGCCAGCACCGCTGTGAATGTTTAATTTGGCCAGACTTCCTGCCTCCTACCAACAAGCTGTTCCTTTCCTCAGCAGAGCTGAGGTAGCCTTGTGCAACCCATTCCAGGAATTCTGGAAGGCTGAAGGCATCGCTTCAGGGACAAACTCTCTGGGGGCCCTAGGGTGCCAGGGCCTTGGTACCTGCTGTGCTGACCTCAGGTCACCTCTCTGCAGGACTTTTGCCAGGAGTTACTGGGACAGAAACATAGCCTAAGGGGCCACTTCCTTCTTGGGGTGTTGCTGGAATGGGTTCCCTCCCCCATTCACACCCTCAGGCTCCCCCAGGGATACACAGAGGGACAGAGGCAGGGTCTGGTCGTCTCTGGCCTGTTACCCTGCCTAGGTAACCTGCCATTGCGGGGGGGGGGGGGGGGGCTGTTCTGAGTGACAGCCAGCCCTCTTGCCAGTGTCTGCACCTGGCCTAAGTAGTGTGGACAGTGGGACAGCACAGGGTGGCAAGTGCTCTCCTGCCAGACCCCCCCCCCCCCGAGAGTTCCTGCTCTCACACACTCAGCTTCTAGAGCACAGGGCACAGCTGGACAAGCACGGGGCCCATAGTGCACACTGTGAGGGCGAGGGGCTGGCTGGGTACCCTGAGGATAAGCAAGGGGAGGGTGAAGGGAAGGGCTGCCCAGCTGCTGCACTCTTCCTTTCACATGCAGCCTGGCCACAGCCTTCAGGAAAGGAGCAAGATTTAATACACTGCACAAGGAACAGGGCTTCAGTCCTCAGAGACAGGGCAGCTCTGCCAGGGAACCCCGTTGGGAGGCGCTCGGTACTTGTGGGAGTGCATGCTTCTGTTGTGGTGGCAGCTGTAGTTGGGAAATGTCATCTGTAGGCCCCCTCAGTTCAGTGTCTCCCCTTCTCCACACAGATCTGGGACATGAGTGACGAGGAGACCATCTGAGACAACCACGGCTCAGGAGTGTTCGGCCCTCAGCGCAGGACTGTTCCCCAGGACTGGTGATCTGGGTCCCACCACCTCCCTGGTTCTGGTCTCCACTCCCCCAAGGACTAGGGGCACCCTCTGATGCCCAGTTCTCTTTCCTGCGCCATCTCACCAGCTCTGAACTCAATAATAACTTTGGCATTGCCACTGATCTGGGGGTTCTTCCCTGTGCATTGATTTCCCCCCCCCCTCCTGTTGTCAAGATTTTGCTGGGATCGTTTCACCTTGGACCATAGAAGCTGCAGAAAGCATCTGACTCAGCATAGATCAAACAAGGATGTCTGTCCTAGGAGCCTCCATGGGGAGAGTCCCTTCTGTGGACCCTGGGCAGCAGTGGGCTGAGCTTATTGCCCAAGTATTCAAGTGGCTGCCTGCCTGGTGAGCAGCTGGGCCGCAGGCAGGTGCTTCATGGGGTTCCTATTGGGGCAAAGTTAGTTTTCCTCTTCATTCTAGGATGGGTCCTTAGTAGCTGTGGTCACCTGTCCTAAGTACACCTGCTCTTCCTAGCAGCTCCCCCTCCCACACTTACATACCTTCAACTTCGGTCTCATATCCAGAACAGTCCATACATGGCTGTCCGGCAGATGCAGTAAGGTAGAGTTGAGAGGTCCTTGGCCTAAGGAGGAGACTATAACAAGTAACCCTGCACAAGGGTTCCAAGATTCAGTGAGGCCTAGGCACAGGGCACCACATGCCACCCTAGGATGCAAGAGCCACACAAAGCCTTGGTTTAAGAGCACTTTATTATTGTTCTTAAGGCTACTTTTAAGTACAAAAAAAAAAAAAAAAAAAAAAAAAAAGATGGCCTGCCAAACCTTTTTTTTTCTTCTTCCAGGAAAAACAGGCCACAGAGAATGGTATATTACAGATTTACAAACACAGAGAGGGTTCAGCACACACATGGGTGGCTTGGTTCTGGGGAGGTCACAAAGCTCCTGCCCAGGCAGGATGGTGCACTCCTCGGCTGACGTGTGGCATTCCCCTCCAGGGCACAGCCTATTCCAGATAGGTTAGTGCACCAGAGACCCAGCCACCCACACTGCCACCCCCACCCCCAACAGCAACAACCCGATCACTGACGGGTGTCTGAGGCCTGTTGCCCACAGAGCCAGTCCGCGGTGCGGTTGTTTCCCTGTGACAACCTCAGTAGCCTGTAGAATAACAAACTAGTGGCTATTAATGCGGACGCAGTGTTGTCATGGAGTAACTGTGTACCTGCACGATTACAGACACACCTACAACAAAAAAAGATCAACTTTTTTTTTCCCAAACAACAAAAAAATGATTACCAGAGGAAAGGGAAAAATTAAATAGCTACATATCATTAACAAATTAATTGTTCTTCAAAAATACCTACAAATTTCTCTGTACATTCTTTACGCACAGCGTAATGATGGTCTTTAAAATTACCTATATAAAAAAAGTGTTCTCAACAATTCTTTTTTCCTACAGAAAATATAGGGGCCTGAATGTCAAGCTCGGAAGCCCAGGAGAGTGGCGTGAACTGTGTGCGGGGCAGGAGGGCTGTCCACTTTTGTAAGGACTGGTAGCCACCCTGTGACTACAGGTATCAGCCCCCGCCTTTCCACCCTTGCCTGTTTCCCTCCTACTGAAAGTCAGCCCCACGGGTTCCCATATGCAAGGAGTCCATAATGCCTTGTTGGAGAGGTGGTCCTGGCCAGATGATGTCCTAGCCCTTTAGTGGGCTGAGCCAGGGGACAGAAATGCTTACGGCCGGGAGGAGCAGCAGCTGTGGGGCATCCCCAGCCATGTCTGTCCTGCTTGTTTCTAATGTCTAGTTAGTAGCTATTAATAGAGCGGGAAATAGTGATACAGGAATAACTGTATAGTTATTATTGAGGAATGTGTACAGCCTTGGCCCCGGCCTGAGAGGAAGCACACGAAGCTCCATGCTGCAGACTGTCAGGCACCTACTGTTTGGCCAGTAGTTGGAAAGGAGCAGTCTGTGCATCAAAGAGCCTAAAGATGTGAACTCAAGTCCCAAGCCCAGGATGCAGAAAATCAGCAGCAATGGGCTCCCCAACCTACCACACCCACCGGCTGTGCGCTCCTTCTCGGAGTAAAGTGAGCGTCCATTACACGTCTCAGAAGCACAGCTGTACCAGCAGTGAATGTATCTAGGGCTGTAACTGACATAACAGGCTAATGCCACTGACCCGAAGCCAGTCAGTGCTACAGTCTGAGCTTATAGTCAATAGAAACCAGCTATTTTTCTTAAGACACGCACCATGTCAGAAGCACTACGGAGTCCTCTAGTCTTGGCACTAGCCTCACAAACTGCAGTGTTCAGAGAAGGTAAATGCCCATGGTCGGGGAAGTCTGCAGTCCAGTTGTGAGCACCTTAAGACTAGAAAGAAAGACCTAGAACCTGCTAGAGACCTAAGTTGAACAATGCAAGCACACATGGTCAGAAGTGTTCCCTAGCAGTTTGCCCTCGGTGCTGGCATCTCAGATGGCTGCCAATAGGCAGCCCTGCCCTCCATAGTGCAAATCAGGACAGTTCTTTTCAGGCAGACACATGTACACACAGACTGAGCTGGACCCCAGGTGCAAGCCAAGCCGTGCAAACCCGATCTCAAAAGCTAAGAGCACAAAGCGTCCGGATCCCCAAGTCTTCATGGCTTGTGACTAAGAAAGGGCCGCAGGGTCCCGGCTGCCAGGTGGCAGAGCTGCAGAGGTTTCTTTGGTAACCAGGGCAGGAAGCAAGGATGCTCCGCTGGACCGATGCTCCGCGCTGTTCCTGTTGCCATATTGAGACCCCTTGTACAAACACCAAGCAAGTACAAAAACAGAGCAGAACAAAAAGTCCAGACAACATGGTTTTGCGAATAAACCACCCTCCCACCCTCCCCTCAAGACTTTTTTTCTTTCTTTCTTTTTTTTTTTTTTTTTTTTTTTTTTTTTTTTTTTTTTTTTTTTTTGTAAAGCACGGACTGTTCAAAGCTCAGGCAAACCATGCAGATCCCTGTGTGGTCAGAGGGTGGAGCCCCCTTCAGGAGACCACAGAGGGGGAGTGACTATGGTTGACCATGTGGGCAGTGGGACTGGCTGGCTGGCCCCGGCGTGAGGCTGACTCTGGGCTGCTGGAAGCGCTGTCCTTCGCCGCTTTGATCTGAAGCCATGTGTCACCTAGTGCTTTGGCAAAGTGGTCGTCCACAGAGCCAGTGATGGACACCGAGTTGGGTGCTGGCTCCGGCTCCTTGTAGTTCTTGCCTAGGCTCCTTCGGAAGTGCTCTTCCACCACAGGGTCACAGGTGGCAGTTGCTGCAAAGGACGGATCAGAGGAGATGTCGCTGCATCAGTGGGCCGGGGTACCATAGTCAGTGGTGCCTAACCATACTGGCACTAAACAGCAATGATGAAGGCTGTCTCCCTGTCATCTAAAGCCCAGAGGTGCCAGGGACCCAAGCCATGGCCAATTAATTCAAGGTACGCATGTGCTCAAAAACATTGCTTTTAAACTCAAAGTGAATTTTAGGGAGAGGTTACAGCCCACAGCTTAATCCAGGTCCCCACATGCAAGCGGCCATGGTGGAAAACTCACCACTGGGCAGTCTCCGGTAACTGGCAGATCCAGATGCAGAGCAGCCACTGTGTGCAATGGGACAGTGAGAGAGGTTGCAGTTGCGAGCGCCCGCTGATGCGCAGGTTATCACAGAGGGCCGGTTCTGCAGGAGGGAGAATAGGTCAGCTCTTCACCCATTGATTAGGTGAGCAGCTGTGAAGTTCCTCTTCACAGGGACCTCTTCTGCACCCAGTTTTTCCTGGAGCCCACTGTGCTTCAAACAGCAGGTCCAGACGGGAAGACTAGATATGCTGGGGTCCCCTCTCCTGGCACCTGCAGCTAAGACCCTGACACGCAGCATCTCCTCAGGGCCAGGTCCCTTCCTCCTTGTCAGGGAGTGTGTACAAACTCTGACTGGAAACCTGGAATCACAGGCCTACCATGGGTCACTGAGAACTGCCTGGAGTCTGTGCTTTTAAAGCCTCCTCCGCTTGTCGTCTCTGGGGCCTGCTAAGACAGTGTGGTGCTAAGGTAAGGCAATCACTCAAGTCCTCAGGGTAGTGTGACCTCCTGCTCTTTGGTCTTACCACGTTGCCTTGAACTTATAATCTCAGCTACTTGGGAGAGGCAGGAGGATGACAAGACAGAGCTGCTAGTTCTGGCCTTGTTTTTTAAAAAGTAATAATTTTGCCAGGTAGTGGTGGCGGCACATGCCTTTAATCCCAAAACTCTGAAGGCAGGCAGATCTCTGTGAATTCAAGACCAGCATAGTCTACAGAGCGGGTTCTAGGACAGCCATGGCTATATGGAGAAACCCTGTCTTGAATATCCCTCCCCCTCCCCCAGAAAAAGAGCCTATATCCTTCTCACAGGTTTGTGGCCACTGACATTTAATTTTGTGGAACCCTCCTGGGTAAGCACAGGCCTCTTGGGAGGGACAGAGTGCTAGGAAGATGGGGGAGGGACACATGGGGACCTCCCTCATCAAGACCAATCCTGTGCAAAGCAGCAAAGTCTTAGGAACGGGACTGCGGAGGTCCCTTCAACTTCAGGACTTCTGCTCAGGGTTTCCATGTAGCTCTTGGTTCCCCACACCCAGCTTGACCTGGTCACCTCCAGATGAGAAGTAAGCAAGCTGCTTGACATAACATACACACCTGCTGCCTCTCCACAGCCGACCTGCCAGTGTCACTGGTGTTCTTAGTCAGTGCTAGAGGCTGCTCCATGAGGCCAGGGAGGGATGCATACAGGTGGCCACCATGCAAGCTCACAGCAGGGGCTGCAACCCGCTCAATGGGACTGCGGCTCCTTTCCCTGGGGTCTCTTCTGCAGTCTCCGTTGACAGTCTTATTCCTGAAAGACAGGGAGGGAAATGCCTGTCAAAGGGGGCCCTGGTGTTCCCATGGCATTCATACCCTGAGGTTAAGGGTACGACTAAAGGGTGAGTTAGGGAACCTGGCCCTAAGTACAGGACGTTCCCTCCTTCCCTGCTGGCAGACATGTCACTTAACAGTGTTGTCTGCCTGCCTAGATAGGAGACAACGCCATGTGCAGTTTGACCACCATGGGTCATTGAAGTAGGATGGGAATGCTGGTGATAAATAAACCTGACATATGGTATGAGCCAGTTCTGGGGCGAGACCATACTCGTGTATGCACCCTGGCACCAGAACCCGTTAGCACCTCTGTCCAGACAGGACACCAAGACAGTGGGTAGCCGAGCGACTGGCTCATCCACTGATGACCTCTTCTGTGTGGGTCTGTCTGCCTCTTGTTAGTGCAGCATAGGGCAACCAGTAGCTGAAGAAGACAGCAGTGTCCCTGAGCTGTAGGGGCCTGCATACTTGCCAGATGCCCAACGCCGCCTCTTCTATAAGGGATTTGTATGTCAACACAAGTGAGGCATGAGGACCCGCAAGGCCCAGCTTACACACACACTGTTCCAGGCTCAGCTCTGTCCCTTTTTAACCAGCTGCCAGAGCAAGCACTTTAAAATTTAAAGGAAAATGGGGGGCTGATTCCTAAGGTTTTTAGAAACTTCAGATGGTTCTCTTGAACCCATGCAACTTGGTCTGCTCCTTAACCATCAAAGCAGCAGGCTATGGACACTTGGCTTTGAGCAGAGAACAGCCATGCCTGCCTGCTGGGCCAGCCACATGTAACATGCTAATGTTTAGTCACATACCACACACCCCCCACATGTGATAGCTACACCTTTTATTAGTGACCAATCAATTTTCAATTCTAAGAAGTGACACCGTACCCACCATTCCCTGGCCTTGCTGTGTTCATCTCAAAGCCATCTTGTTATTAAGCAAATCTGACCTGACGGCTCTCTATTCAAGTATGAGCAGCTAGCACCTTTCCCATGAACCCTGTTCCCAACAGCCTTTCCTCTTATACTGTAGCAATAACTGTCCATCTGTCCTTCACCAGGGAGGCTGTACTTCTCTGAATGTGCAGTGGCCCCCAATTCCAGGGTACTTGTGCCACCACACCCCTGCTGATCACTCCTGCCCATCCTAGGCTGGCACGGAAAGTTTTCAGGGACAAAGTCCTGTCTGTCTTGAGCTACTGACCCCCTGCACAGGGAAAGAAAGCACCAAGATGCAAAACTGGGATGGGCAGACAGATGGAGCCTACACGCCCGGGGGCTCATGCAGCAGACACTAGCAAGGACAGGAAATCCCAGGGAGTACTATGGTTCCCAAAAGAACCTGCAGCAGGCAACGGGGACAGAAGAAGCCAGCACAAGGCGGGCTGGAGGGTCTGAGAAAGACAGCCTACAGATGGCGAGATGCCTACAGATGGCGAGATGCCTCAGGCAGGCTAGCATCACTTGTCCCCTTGACCTCAAGGTCACCAGTCCTTACCACCTTGGATCGATCCCCCACAGTCAAGCACCAACCTCAATGATGAGATAGATGCATAGAGAGCATAGAATGAGGTGGTACCAACAGGGGCCTCCAGGACCCAACACCTAGGAACTCATTCAGTCGGCACCGAGCATGGTACATCATACAAAATACACGAAACACAGAACAAGCCTGGGAACTTGCTGGTTAATTTTAGTAAAATTACACGTCACTCATATTTCCAGCTCACTTTTCCTGGTTCCTGGAGCTTAAAGGCAGACATTGTTTTCCATGTCCCTCCCCTTTGAATGAATCACAGCCTAGTGTGTCCTGTGCCGTCAGGACGCTGACCCAAACCACACACATCCTGCCGCTCCTTAAAGACCAAGTTGGTGGGTGGAAAACCAACAGGGGCCCTAGTAGGGCCTCGAGGACTCACGGAGCTGCCTGGGAGCAGCACCCTTGCCCAAGCCAACTATTTTAGGAGAGAAACAAAAAGGTGGGGTGGGCAAAAAGGAAGCCACCACCCTCATCCAGGCCAGAGTTTTCTGGGGATAGTCACCATGTGCTCCTGATCACTCTCTGAGGTCAGAAGACAAAGTAGACCAAATCCCAGAGTACAACTCCAAAGAAAACACACGGTCTGGCCCTTACCCATGTGCAGACCGGAGGGTTGGTTAGTCCTGTACAGTATCTTGCTCAGCCTGAGGAACCCTGCATGGTACGTTGGCAAGCAGAAGAGTAAGGAAGGGCCCACCCAGCCTTAGGCTTCCCACAACACACAGGATATCCTGGAGATGACAGAGTGAGCCTTCCTGATACCAATCTGTGCTGGTGTCACTGTGTGCCAGGGCCAGGGCCCATCTTGCTCTCACACTGTGCCCTGGGAACCTGCATGACAATCATAACCCTTCCCACAATCTAACACTAATAGTTGGGACAGAAACTAAGCCTTCAGACCTTCCCAAAGCCATGACCAACCTCAAGGCTATCTACTTTGACGAGAATTGTGTCTTTAATGGAGACATGACGGCATGGACCATATCCTCTGTGTCCCCAATCACAGTTTCCCATCCCTTGACAATCAAGAAGAAAGTCATGTTCCCATGTCCACCTCAAAGCCAAGACAGCAAGACTGTGTCTGGCTGACATTCCTGACGCTTAGCTATATAGGTTCTGTCTCACTTTCTGCTTAATGAAAATTCAAAACTCAACCCCAGGCAACTAGCCATGCCTCACTCCCTGTCACAGGAAGCTGGAAAACCTGCTGGAGCAGAGCACTGGGGGAGGATGGCCCTCAAGCTATTCAGGCTGGTGGTCTTTCCATCCCTTGCTGAGTGCTCAAACCTCATTCTGATGAACCCTGAAGTGGGAAACAGACTCAGGCACTATCTGAAGTTACCAAGCTGGTAAAGTCAAGGGTTCCAGGGCATAGCTCAAGGTCTGTAAAACCTTCCCTTCCTGACAGGGTAAAGCACCATTTCTATACCATCTCTCAGCAATGCATTTGAGTCTCTCCTGTGAATTGTTTTTAATTTCTGTCACAGACTGAACAGGGTCTCCTGAAAGATGTTATATGTGACCAGGTCTAATATCAGAACCACAACTCAATACCCCTAACGGGTAAATAAGGAAACAGGCACTCAAAGGGAAAACGATACCGAGAGATCAGGGGTGGCAGCAAAGAGAGCATCCCTCAGAGGAATCCAATCACTCCATGTAGATCAGGCTAGCCTTGAACTCACAGAGTTCAGTCAATCAGCTTGCTTCTGCCTATTCATGTCAAATAAAGGAGCTAGAAACTGGCAATGTTGGGGAGCCTAACCCTGGGCTAGCCTCCATTAATGTGTGTGCTTGTACCTTCGTTTTAACAAAAAAAAAAAAAAAAAAAAAAAAAGTTTTTAAAGCTTAAAAACTATGAAGAATTATCATAAAAGTAAAAAATTGTAAAAATTTTGGGGCGGCAAGACAGAAATGCTCGTTTGTCTTGTGAGCCCAATGACCTAAGTTGGCATGGTGATAAAAATCAACTAACGGCTCATCCTCAGGATGCACACGGCTGCCTTCCCTCCATCTCGAGCACCAAATGGCTTTATAGATCTCTAGAATCCACTACACTGATGCTTTCTGCTGACTGACCTATAATTAATGCAAAAGCATTTTAGAGCAGTGGTTCTCAACCTTCCTAACGCTGTGATCCTTTTACAGTTCCTCATGGCTGTGGTGACCCCAAACCATAACATTATTTTCATTTTTGCTACTGTAATGAATTGTAATGGCTGACATGCTTCCCCTACTGAGAACCACTGCTTTAAAGATTTACTTATGTAGTATATAAACAGTGTTCTTCCTAGTATGTCTGCAACCATACAGATGGTTGTGAGCCACCGTGTGGTTGGGAATTGAACTCAGGACCTCTGGAAGAGCAGCCAGCACTCTCAATCTCAGAGCTATCTCTCTAGCCTCTGCTTTAGAGTCTTAGAGATGTAGCAAGGACCCTAAGCCTCACTGTCCTTCAGATAACACATGCTATGCCCGGTGCATGAGGCTAGAAGGCCAATCAGTGCAAGGCCCGAGGCCTGGCTGGTCCAGAAGCTGGCGAGATAATCTACTTCCCTGCGTGAGGGTGAGGAGGGGAATGCCTGTGGAGCTGCTGTTATCTGAATCTGACCATCAACTCAGCAACTCTGGATGGTTCTGGAAGGAATGCTCTTGCCTGGTTTCCCACTTGCCATCACTGCAGCTGGGGAGCACTATCCCCCACTCCTTCCCCAGCGCCCAAGTCCCAGAGCAGGTAGGTGACAGTTCAGTGTCACCCAACCACTCCTGTGACAGGAGGTAAAGGTTGCCTCGTAGAAGAACTACATGGCCCCTGACACCCTTCTGATGAGGACTGGGGATTTGTCCCCACAGCTGAGCCCAGGGCTTCTAAGCCATCACTGGAGTCATGAAAGAGCCTGTTTGTGTCACGATGTCCCAGCCACCACCACCCATCTCCCCGGCCCCTCCAGCAGCCCAGGTGTCACTTGCATCCCACAAGAACATTCCCAGCAGTTACTTCCTCTCCCCCTCTCCTGTGTTCCCTGAAAGCCGCACACTATCTACTAAAAGGCTACGAAATGACCAGGTGAGTGAGTGCAAGGTGGCACTGGCTCAGTGTTACAGGCCCGGCTCTCCCAGTTCACCCTGGCTCAGCCTCAACTCTGTGCTCCACTCTGACTCCAGCCCTGTTCCCCCAGACCAGAACAGTCTGCATGTGTTTTACATCATTAGCTGAGACAAGAGAAAGAAACGGAAGCCTGAGAATCAAGTCTGCCATGAGACTAGGGGTGGAGCACTGTGCTCTCTGCATGTTAGCCAAGCAAGAATGGGTCCACCTGTAGCCACAAACCCCCAAGGACGTCACACAAATTAGGCCAAGAACCCATGTGCACGCCAAGCATGGTTTACAGAGCCCGAAGCTCACGTGCTGCACACATGCACACTCAAATGCTAATG